AACCAAACAAGATACTGCTACTCCCCTCTTAGAAGGAACAAAAAATAAAACTAAAAACAACTCAAAACCCAAATTGAGTATAAATGAGGATGCAGAGCAACAGGAACTCTGATGGAAAATGCTTTGAAAAACAGTTTCTTATAAAATGAAACACAGGCTTAGCATGTGAGCCAACAATCCCAGTTCTAGATCTTTACCCACGAGAAACGAAAGCCCACATTCACATGAAAACCTGCACACAAATGCTTGTGGCAGTTCTACTCATAATAACCTCAAACTGGAAGCAATCCAGGCGTCCTTCCGTTAGAAACTGGCTGCATAGCAATACCCGCATGTACTTGGAGCGCTACCCAGGAGCAAAAGGGAACAAACTGCCAGCTCACACAATAGCACAAAGGAGTTTGAAGTGGGTTTCACTAAATGAACAAAGTCAGACCCAAAGCTACATACTGTATGATTTCATTCATAGGACTTGGGAATGGCAAAACTGGAAGGATGGCAAACAGATCAGAGCTGGAAGGACAGATGTGACTGCAGAGGATAGCAAGACAGAGTTGGGGGCGCCAGTCTATGTGTGTCAGGATTGTGCTGATGGATTCATGCACTATACATGTGTCAAAATCTGAAGACCCACAACCAGTACAGCACAAATAGAAAACTTCACCATGTGTAAGTTTAGTTTAAAAATCAGCATGTGGTATAAATAGAGTAAAAGCCACAACAAAGGAACCTAACTGTTTTATGAGCAAGTAGCATAAGTACCTTTCAGAGAGTGGGAAAGAAAAGGACGGAACTAAGTTCTTTTTGTGCACAATATTTTATCTGGACACTGTGAGGCTAAGGACAAACAGACGAGTACACAAATACTCTAGTTAGTGAATTTGTCTCTTACAGGGAATGGATTGGTAATTCTGAAGCAACTAGGGTACACTTGGGTTGAAAAAATCAGCAAACATATTGCAGATAATGAGAGCTGAGTATCCCACCACCTTCAAAGGAAGAAGCTATAAGGAAGGAAGGAAAAGAGGAGGACAGAATAAACTTTGTATTGTTGGTCTGGAATTGGAGGTATCATTATGAACTCATGGTCTTATAGCAGATGACACAGCAGATGATAGATAAATGGATAGTTTTTTAATTGGTAGCTATAGATGTGTAGAGAGAGATAGATAATGGATGGATGATAGGTAGATGATGGATGAATAAATGATGGTAAATAGCTAGCTAGACAAACAAATGAGTGGGTGTGCATAAGTTGGAACATGTACATATATTTCCAATCTCTATCCCTGAGAGGGTCCGGAGATGATGCCAACCCTGTAGCACTGAGCACACCTAGGTCTAGAGATCTTGGTTTCTAAATACTATTCTCCAACAAACGGAATCAGCGCTTGTTGGTGAAAGGGTAAACTCTAGGCCTGGCACAGGGACAGTGCAAGACCTAAGAGCCCGCAGCACTTTGTGGTGAGAAAATGTAAGGAAAGGGCAAGTCAGAGGATCACAGGCACCACCTGAAAAAGCACTCAAAGGCTCCAGCTGCAGCATTTAAGTGATAAAATAATCAGTGGTTGTATTGGATTATAACCCACAGAATAAATTATGTAGCCATGAGTCCATGCAGATAGCAGTAACTGGACAAATAAAGAAATGAGAAAGAAGGGACAGGTCTTTACAGAAAAATTCTACTTAATAAAATGGAAAGAATGGGGCTAGAAAGTTCCCATGAGAATACCACAGTCATCATTGTTTCAGGAAAGATCCACTGATGGGTGCTAAAATTAGCGGGCAAAATTCTAAGGAGAGAGAATATTTGCATGGTCTTTATGTATCTCTCCCCATTATATATATTAATTACCAAGGGCGCTTTCGAGGTGGAGAATCCGGCAATCTTCCCTTTAACAAAGCCATCAAAGATAAAATGCAGTGACCTCAAGCACCCCCTAGTGTGGTGCATGAAGGTCATTACTCCTGAATTATTCTGGCCAAAAATGCATAACTTCAAGCTAATCCTGGGAAAGCGGGAGACAAATCAAATTAAGGCACATTCTGGCTCATTCTCATCAAAGTGTCAAGGTCAAGAATAATGGAGGAAAAACTAGATCACTGTCACTGATTGAAGAGATAGAGACATCCTTCAAACTCAGGCTGGAGACTTATGACCTGACTGTCATAGAAGAAAACCCCAGAAAGACAACAGCAGCCTCAGGTTGGACACCCATAACCCAGCTCTGCAGCCGCCATGCAGGAGCCTCAGGAGGTAGCTCTGCTCTCCTCACCTGACTGAACACGCAGTCAGAGGCACTGCCAGTACCAGCAGCCTGCTCCTGGGAGCTGCTGGGCAGCAACACAGAAATCAGGCTTTCTGCGCACTGGTCCTGTTCCTGTCCTATCAGAGGTAATTACCAGCCCTCACTGAGCATCCGGAGCTGATGCTGCTGCCGGCCGCAAATGGATGGCTTGGTGCCAACTGACATGCGTACTGGTTTTTTTCCTGCTTGATCTAGTGCTTCAGAGCTATCACTCTGATCCTTAAGGGTGGCAGCTGGCCCGGGAGAAAATTCCCTTCACCCTGTATAGTCCCCATCCCGGATCTAGGATTGAGCCCTTCTCCAAAGAGCAATGGAAAATGCTCGCCTTTTGAGGGCGTCTGACCCTGGCCCCCAGGCGCCTCTGCAGATGTCAGCCACTGAGCCTAAAGGTGACCATCCAGCAGGTCTCCACTGCGCCTGTAACACCCTACTGTCCTTCCTTGAGTACTGATGGCCTCTCCACCCTGACCACAAGGTGAGCACCCCAAGAATAGGAATGGTCTGAGTCACCACTGGCTCCAGAACCCACAAAATGACTCTGAACAGGGAAGCTGTCACCAATGTCCTGGTCCTGGAGATAGGGGAGGACATCTGTGAATGGGGCTTAGCCTGGCCCTTGGTCTGGATCTCCTCCACTTGGAACCTGCTCAGGCTTTGGGTGCAGAGAGGCTTTCCAAGTCCTTGAGGTCCACCTGCTCCACACTTTGTGAGTGAGAGCCACAGCCTGGTCTGTTAGGGGCTGGAGAATGAGATACCAATGGGACAGGTGTGCCCTGCCACTTTTGGGGGCCTCCCTAGTTGGTCTGACTGCACTGTGTCACACAGTGCTGATCTGTGTTTGTTGTTCTTCACCTGGCCACAGGTGACCTTTGAAGCCTGAGGCATGATAATATGAGAGTAAGACTCATTGCTGAGTAATTAGAAGGACACAGGCTTCTTGCAGAAGTTCTAAAAGGCAGAGCTGAGTGCCTGTCAGTCAGTGGGAAGCAAAGTAGGTCAGAGCTTGTTAGGCCAGAGTGCCCTCGTGTGGCTCATGGTGGCATCGCTGGGACAGCCAGACTGCCTCCTCCCTTCTAGAGCAAATCTCTTAAGAGCTTTCTGGCTAGGGTTGTGCCCATGCACTGAGGGACACGGGGGCCACATACTGCCCTGTACCAGGGGCCCAACCCACACTCACAACCATGATTTTAGGCAAGATGTACTTCTACAAACGTGCCAGAATGCAGTTGAAAAATGAGGAAATGTCACCCACCCCCTTCTGAATGGGCAGGTCTTAAATCCTCATGCTGTTTTCACACCAATGTGCCTCTGAGGGAACAGGAGCATAGGCCATTCTGGAGTCCCTTGTGCAGCCTTTTCCAGTGGCCCTTTGTTGGGGTGTGGGTGGGGAGGGGCAGAATTTGCTGAATAACCCCAAGGAACAAATGGATCCCACACAAAGACCGGGTCTGCCAACGACACTCTCACTTAGGAAATACGCTTATAAAGACAAGCTCAGTGACAAGGGTGCCCCGCCTACATCCTGAGCCTCATTTCCTGCTGGGGGGACTACTAGAGTGGACAGACAAACAGCGTGGGTGACACAGAGCCCAACGGCCACACTTATGTCCATAAGAACCAGAGAAAACATACACACAGGAGAAAGTACTTTGATGGGCCAGGTGGGATCTCTCTTTTTGCTTTTCTCCACAACTTGGGGGAATTGGCTGGGCTGTACAGTGTGTAGTGTATGGAGCTCTTGCTTCATCACTGCATGTCCCACAGTCCCCACCCCCATGTCCAGTGGCAGCTCTTACCACATTCTGAGGAAAACTACAGGCTCTGTCCCATCAGCTGGGACAGCTCACCACCCTACCCCGGCGGCCACCATACCTCTCAGGGGCTAAGGAAGGCTGTGCTAAGTGGGCCACAGATGCAAATGTCCCTCACCCAAACCCCCTTCTATGGCTTGGGGGTAGTTCTCAGCTTTCTTGCAGGAGGACCCTGAGGGGGCCGTAGGGGGTGGAGTCTCCCTTCACATCAGGGCCCAGCCCAGAATCTGCATTTATAGCACATGCTAAGTTGTGGTGGAGGGAAACCGTTGTTTTCTGTCATGCAGTAGCTGCTTTGCGATCCACAGAGCAGCATGTGGGTGGGTGGATCAGTGGGAAATGCTTCCTGTTTGGAGGAATCAGGGAAGAACTGGCCTCGCTATTCTTCAGTTCAGCGCATCACTGCCTGCAGAGTACAGGAAAGTCCCTGCTTAGGGCCACAGGCAGAATTCTGCGTGACATAAAGGAGGAAACCTCCTTTGTTGGGGGTTCAGGGAGCAGGATGGGGTGGAGCCCACGCAGGCAGAAAGAGCCAGGCCCAGGGTGGATATGGCGCCACCTGGGCAGCTCATTGGGTTTTCTACAGGGCATTTGCAGGTGCCTGAGGGTCCAGGTCAGCCTAAGGAGAGAAGGTGGAGGCCACATGTGTGCAGACTATGGTCCAAAGGTGAAAAATGGAGAAGCTCTGTACTTCACCATCTAGGCAGACACCCCAGATCCCCACCATCTCCCAGCCTAGACAGTCATCCTGGGCTCCCCTGTCAGGGGTTGAAAGGACATATTCAACTGAGCAGAAGGAGCAGGCATATTTCCCTGCATGGGGTCACCAATCAGAGCGGAAGGAGAGGCTCTCCCTCGTAGATGGACGTCACTGCCTCACCTGCAGGCCACTGGACTCCAGGCGCCCTTCTTGCATCCGCAGAACCACAGGCATACTGTGTATCCTCACCTGGGCCCTGCTCCTGTGTGCGAAGGTTCTGGACCAGGCCATCTTTGGCCACCCCTGGCCACGTGCAGCCCTCAGGCCCAGCTGGCCTGCTGTGGAGCTTCCAGGCTACGTATACCGGGTGCCCCAGGCATCTGTGGTTTCTGGGGCTGTGCGGTCACATCCGTGTTCTCTGGCATCAGGCTTCTTTCCGGTTGCTCTGCAGCCTCATCTCATGTCAGCTTACAGCGCTCCTCATCCCTCTTCTGGTCCCACTGTACTTCTGGTCTGTGGTTTGTCATGAGCTTTTGGCCTTCCAGTCTCCAGGTGAGATGAGGAGGCCAGAAGTAGCCAAAGCTCTCATCTGTCCCCAGAACGAGGGTGGGTGTGAGATTTGTCCACCAGTGAGTGCTTAGGAGTGAGTCACAGCATCACTGTGCACTCAAGGTGTCACAGAGAACCCTCCTGGGGCTGTCCCCAGTGAACCCTCCCGGTTCCCCTGAACGGAGGTTGCCACTGAAGTCAGTCTTCATTTTGTTATTGGGGATGAGCTTGGGTTGTTTCTGAAGCTCTTCCTTGGAGGACACTGACAGTTACTATGGTAACCAGGAGGAGGGCTTGCTCCTGCATTGGAGCGGCTCTTACCCCTGCTTGGCAGGGAACATCACACATCCCCATGACTGGGATGGAGGCTGCCTTGTGAGAAGAGGGCCAGGGGCCAGCAGCCAAGGCCAGGCCTGTCTTAGAGAAGCCCCAGCCAGCAAAGATAGTTCTGATTCTAGCTCATCCCAAGTGGACAGAGGCCCCCACTCAAGGCTCTGCTTCCCCCTCATCCTGCACAGGACAGCTGCACGATGATCAAACCCTTTGGGGTCTTCGGGCATGAGACACAATGTCCCATTTTGTTGCCAGCATCCACTGCTCTCTGGTCCTGCTGGAGGATAGGGGTATGGCTCCACGGGAGGCTGGAAGAAAAGAGAAGCAAAGTACAGCAGTCAGAAGGATGAGGGGCTGCACAAGAGGGTGCCCACTGCTCCGTGGGACGGGTCCTTTGGCACCCACTGAAAGGTAGGGCCCAAGGACTAAGACAAAAAATGACACTGCAGTCCAAGTGTCTTCTCATCTGGCCCGGGATGGAAGCAGTGACTAAGTCAGGTGTGTGGCCTTTGTCTGCAGGTACATTCTGCAGCTCCATGGATGGAATCAGCTTGTCTGGACCCAATCCCCAGGGAGGGACGTCTGTGCTCTGAAGGGCACAATGGTCTTCTAACAAGCCCTCCGCAGGCCCCAGGGAGTGGTCTTCCTGCTTCCCAGACGGCCGGCAGCTGCCCGACCAGCAAGGGCCCCAGGGCCTCCCCAGAAGCAAAGTGGGACCTTGCCAGAAAACTCCAGCCACGAAGTACTCACCTCATCGGGGTGCCAAGAGCAGCTATGACCAGAGAATGAAAGCTAGGGAGAAAAATAAGAACAAAAATAAAAACTGAAAAAGAAAGGGGAGGAGGATGGAGAAACAGGAGGAAAGAGAAAGGAAAAAAGAGTTTGTAGTGTTTCTGGCAAGAAATGACATGGCTACAGACAGAGCAAGACACAGCAGCCAGCTGGGAGGAGCAGGCACGGTCAGGACACGTGTGAGGGGTACTGTGAGCAGCCCCGGGTCTAGGGTGACACGCTGCCACCCCTAGGGACATGTCAGGGACGGGCACTATCCTGAGCCAGGATGTGAGCACAGTTGGGGGCTCCAGGCCCAGCCCAGCCCCAGCACGGCAAGGTGAGCCAATTCCTCTTGGGATCAGGAGCTCATGTGGGGGATACTATGGGTTAAGGGTGATGATGACAGCCTGGTGGAAAGACATCCCAAGGGCCCAACAAATACAAGCATGCTGGTGACAGCAATTTGGTCCTGACAACACCCTGCGCAGATTTCACACTTTGAAGCTTTGTTTTCTCTTTTGAGGGGTGGGGTGGGGCCAGAGCAATACGGACACAGGAGAATATCTGGCAATGGCAGGATTCCCTGCAATCAAAGAACTACTTTCGCTAAATTTAAAAAACAAATATCTGACTTAAAAATGTTCCACTGCTTAATACGAATACATGCCCTCTAAAACACAAAACACACATTTGGTGTGGGGAGACTTTGGTTTCTTCAAGCTTAAATGCTGAGAACTGCATCCCTTCCGAGCATCCGTATGCCCACCAGACGCTTGCCCATGTGACCTGGTGGCTGGGGGCTGCTGAGTCCCTGCTGCAAAGCTTGTTGTGCAGGTTGTGCTCTGCAAAGCTCTAGCTGTTCCTCACAGTGGATTTGCACGTGTACAAGAAGGTTGCTGGGTGGATGACGGTAAAGTGCCCAACAGATGGGGAAGTTTAGGTCATTGCTGAGGTGGGGTGGGCAGGGCTGCAGTGGGTGGAAGGAAGACCCAGTGGCTAGCTGAAAGGGAACCTCTGTTAGGAGGGGCCTGTCTCTCCTGGATAGCAGATTCTCTTGGATTTTCCTCAGTCCTGCTGAGGTGCTGCCCGTAGGCCATTCTGCCCAAATCTCAAATTCCTGTTTTCTCTAGAAGGTGCAAGACAGGCAGGTGGGTCCCACCAGTGTTTAGTGGGAACTGGTCACTTTGGTGAGATCTAACCCACAGGCAGAAACAATCGCTGAGGAAACATCTGTCTCTGGAAATTACTGGGCCACCCCAAATCACATACAGAAGAACTGCTCTGCAAGCGAGCCATTCCCATGGGAGTCGATCTCTGGGTGTGCTTCTCCATCTTGGTCTGGGGAGCCCAGTCAGTCAACACAAGTGGACAGATGCCTGTGAGCCCAGTCTTACAGAGCCCAGAGTCCTGAACAAGAGGCTTGAGCATGTGGCCCAACGACAGTGCACTTTAGCACACAGGGCTTCTGAACCTGGAGACAATTTCTGCAAGGGTTACTGGGAAGAGGTGCTGTTTCATGGGCGGTGGTTCTCAGGGTCCACAGCCCACCTTTCAGGGACTTGCTCTTCAGACCAATGCACTTAACTTGAGTGGCAGATGCTTTGGTTCTGTCCAGGCCACTGATAAAGGAGCACTAGGTGATGGGTTGTTATGGTTGGGATCTAAAACGTCCCCCCAGAGGCTCATGTATTCAGAAGTGAGGCTTTTGGAAGGTGACTGGATCATGAACGCTCTAACTTCATCAGTGGATTAACACATTGATGGATTCATAAGTTCATGGGAGGTGATAGAAATAGAAGATGAGGTCTAGTGAAAGAGAGTGAATCATGGGGCATGAATTGGGGACTGTATCTGAACCCTCCGAAATCATGAGCTAAAATAAGTCTTCCCTCCTATGAGTTGATTTTCTCAGGTATTTTGTTATAGCTGAAGAAAGGGAACACATTAGTCCAACACCACAGCTCCAGAGGGAAAACTGAGGCCACAAGAGGCATAGTTTCTCTAAAGCTACAGGATTGGATTGTGGGAAGGGCTCCTGGTGCCCAGCCCGACTGATGCCTCTTTCTGCTCACACTACCCACGCAGGCAGAGGCCTCCTGTTCACTCATCACAGGCCAAGTCTATCTACTGCCCTGAGTCAAGGGCTGAATGACTCTGAATGGAAGTGATCTTGTGTTCTTTTATCCATAAGCTCCATGGATAGGACAAGCCCTGAAAATTACATTTATTTTACCTTTTCTTCCAGTTCTTTAATTTGTCTCTTCTGAGCTTCTATTCTTTCTTCTAACTCTTTAATTCTCTGTAACGTTAAAAGGAAGAAAATCTTCAGTAATCAGGGTATTTGGGAAACTAAGCCAAAAAAAAAGCCTTTCAAGATTGTCTTTCATTTGTTTGGTGAACAAATAGCCATAGAGTATCTAGCATACTGTGGCCGTGCTGAACAAATCTAGCATCCTGCGGCTGTGGCTAATAAGGCACACATAGCTGTCCCCAGTTCCCATCTTTGCTCCAAAGAGAGCAGAAGGCCTTCCCCATAGCTATACCTCCTGCGGCAGAAATAATATCCTTTTGACTCCTATAGATAAAAAATCATAATGCCCAAGGGCAAAGACTCAGTCCAGCATCCTTCCCCAAGTCACTGCAGCAGAGAAAAGGACGGCTACAGGTCACAAACACTGTCCCTCAGGAAAACTTTCCTTCTGAGGGTGAGGCCTGGGACTGTGGAAGAAGGTGAGTGGTGACCACAACCCGTCCGATGGAGCAAGGGGACTGCAGGTGACCGTGCTCCCCTGACCCTTCTGGAGACCCAGAAGCTGATAAATAAAGGGACGGTCAGCACATGTCCTGATAGCCAATGCGTCCTCTGTCAGATGCTGGCCCACTGTCACAGTAAGCTAGGGTACTGTGTGGTAGTTTATCTGCATCTACTACCTGAACCTTTGCTTGTGGGTGTTCTCAGCATGGAACACATCTGCAGAAGCCACTTCTAGGCCAGGTGGCACAACAGAGAGCTAGTGTGTGCGTCAACATCAGGGCCATCCAGCCTACCAGTATTTCTCACATCCTGTTAAAACTGAACTAGACAGTGGGCCCGGGCCTACTGGCTGTATCCCCAGACAATGTTCTTACCACAGGGGCCAGTGCCACAGAGAAGAAGTAAAAGCCAGTGACCCAAAATAGGGGAAATATCACCCACAGGCTTCAGAAACACCACCAGCAGGCAGGCAGTCTAGCCAGAGGGTGGGGACACGAGTGTGGCCATGAAAGGGTGTGGTTGTCAGAGGGTGTAGTCATGGGCATGGCCACCGCAGATTTGGCCATTGGGAAGGCTGGGCCATGGGAAGGTCTGGCCCTCGTCTTTGGAGCCAGCCCTCCTGACCTGCACCAGTCCACATACCTGCTGCGCTAGCTGCAGCAGCTCCATGCGCTCCCGCAGGATCTGTGCATCCCGCTCCCGCAGCTCGCTCATGACTTGGCGCTTCCACTGCTCCACCGCCACCTTGAGCTTCTCGCGCTCCTCTTCTGACAGCAGCTCTGCCACTTTGGCCCCAGCCTCTTGCTGCAGGGCATCATACAGCATGGCTTCCAGCTCCAGGATGTGCTGGGGGCCAAAGGGAAGTACATTAGTCCTCCTCTTCTCCCCCAGCCTTCCCCAGGGCTGGACAGGCCTACCTTTCAGGACATGCAGGGGAGGCCAGGTTGCCCATGGCAACAGTGTGCCCATGGGTCTCTTGGGGAAGGACCTGGAGCCCCAGATCTAGGGATGCCCCCATCCAGCAGAAGACAGTGGGCAGTGATGGGGAACATTTTAGAGCTTTCAATGATACAGCAGCCTGCTGCATTACACATGCCATGGGTTCGCCACCACAGCCTTAGGAGAGGAGAAGCTGAGCTGTGAAGTCTGGAAGACAGGGAAGCCTCCAGTCGGGCTTATGCCCTGGCACAGTGGGCGGGAGAAGGACCGAGTTCTGAGGGATCAGAGAAGTGGGTGGTCCCAGCTCTGGGCCAAGGGCAGCATGGCCAGAATGTGTTCCAGGGCCACAGTAAGACAGGAAAGGACACCACGAGGGGCCAGTGTCACAGAGAAGAACTGAAAGCTGCTTCCCAACACTCCAGCTCAGGATTGAGACCTCCATGGATGGAGTGAAAATGACTTGCTATACCTCAGCTGCCAAACACCGCTTTTCATAAATCCCCAGGGTGCATCACTTCAGTCTGGAGGACTTTTAAACTTTCTCTCTTGGAAACTTTTTGATACAGTCTTTGAAAAAACCATTAAAAGCCATTCATCTTTGAAAATTCTCATTAAGATTCTCATTTTGATGGGCCCTTTCTTCCCATCAAAAATGTCATATATTCAGAAATGGATGGTCTCTTCCGGCAAAATGATTATGAAACTTCGTCTTAGTAGAAATTTAAGAAATTTTTAAAAAAACCTTTTGAGCTTCAGCTAGACTGTATTGTTAACAGCCACAAAATAAACTGTCCCTTTGTGTTCATGGTCCTGCATCAATTGCCATTTCTCAGAGTAAAAGAGCTTAGGCTGCTTAACAAGCCCTATAGCTCACTCTCTCTCTCTCCCTCTTTCTTTCTCTCTCTCTCTCTCTCTCTGCCCCATGTGCCCCTGCCATGATACCATGTTGGGATGTAGAGAGAAGACCCCCCCACCAAAGTACACACAGGCTCATCTGATCTTGGACTTTAGGCCTTTAGAACTGTGAGCTGAATAAACCTTTTATTGGTACACTATTCAACCTCTGGTATTTTGTTATAGCAATAGAACACAGACTAATACAAATGCCCATGAAGCATCTCTGTGCTCTCAGTGTAAGCCCCAAGTGGGGCTTTCACCTTTAGGTTTATCAGTAGGGAAAATGGTTTCCCAAGGGGCAACAGGATATGCAGTACAGATAAAATCTGCATTCCTCCAAATGGTAGGTAAATAAAGCAGAGTTCTTCATGAAATGATGCTACTTTTCAACATGCAGCTATGTACAATTACAGTAATACCTCTGTTCACAAAAGCTTTTATTTGCAAGCAATTTGATTCACAAACAAAAGCAGTCAGCAAAATTTTGCTTCTGTTTGCAAACTGCATCGGGTGACAAACACAACCACAGTTGTGTTCCCCACATAAACATAACCACAGCCGTCTTCCCCCAAATTGTAAAACAAATTAAGTTTGTAAACCAAAGTACTACTGTGATTTGTAAGTGCACCATTTTCCAGCTAATTTTATTTTATCAACTCATTTCACATATCCATGCAGGCTCTCATGTGCCTGCGCTTTCAAAGCCTTTGTTGAGAGTGTGGTAAAACACCCTCAGAATTCACAGATAAAGGCATTTTGGTGGAGAGCAGCAGAGAGTGACCCTGTACTGAGCTTGGGCACTTCCTGACAGCGTACTGAGCCCTGGCCCATGAAGGTATCTGAAAGACATACCTCTGGGATGTGAGCAAACCCCTACCTTTATTTCTCTCACCTTGTGGGCTTGGTCTAGGGCCTGCTTCCTGTAGTCCAGCTCTTCATCCAGGTAGCCCTTCTGTTTACTGAACAGCTCCTGAAACAAAAGTCAACCTGAGTCTTGGCCTCAGGTACCCAGGCCTAAAGATGCTGAGCTGCATGGATACCTGGGGGAGGCACTACCAACCTTCTCACTCTCCAGATCCACCATCTTCCGCTGCAGTGCTGACTCAGTCTCTTCAATCCGTTGGAGCCACTGGGCACAAGCAGAATGAGTAGGTGACAGTGACCCCTTGGTTCCCCCACACAGGCCTGGACAATACCACCCCCTTCCCTGGCTCCATGGGGACAGCCTGGGAGAGGATGGAGGAAGGCTGGAGTCAAGGAGGGGAGTTGGAGCTGGGTTGGGACCTTGGGACGAATGCACCACTCTTGTCCTGGCCCCACCTGTCCACCCTTCTGAGCATCTAGGAATTCTGCCCCTACACCTTCCTCAGGAGTGGAGAGATACTGGTTTGGGGTGCAGCAGGAGCAGACACATCTATGGAGCTCTGCCAGGAGAGGTGGGGAAGGCTGGCTCATTTCCTTGAACCCCTATTTGCCCAGAGCATCCCTTCCCCCTGTTGCTGGAGGTCTGACAGTGACCCACATGGTGGGCCTGGGAGGTGGGCAAAGAGTGGGCTGTTGGTCTGGGCAGCCCCAAGAGGAGGGCTGGCAGGTCAGTGAGGGAGAGAGGACAGTTTTACAGATACTACACAGCTTCCAGACTTTGAGAAAAGAACAAGGCAGGGCTGATAGTGGCAACGTCTGGCTGAACCTGCTTTGCAGAGGTGCACAGTGCACGCTATCTGACCTGTGTGCACCTGTCTCCAAGGCAGACAGGACTTAGTGGGCCCTCAGACCCCGTGGCCCCCTCCTTCCAGGAAGAACATCTTCTGTGCCCTGAGCAGGGCTGAGCAGGGACGGGGTCAGCCCTCTCCCCAGTATCCACACAGTTGCTGTTACCTTCTCTGCCAAGGTCAAGACTGTCCTGGCTTGTATGACAACCACTTGCTCTTCATTGGTCAGGTTCTGCACCCAAAAGCAAAAAACAGGCATAGTTAGAAGCAGTGCCTTCCCAAGTTGGGGTTGAATGATGGATGCATGGTGAGGCTGATGGGACAGATGCAAGGGGGATGGGGCTACAGCTAAAAGATGCTTTTACTGAAACATCCTCCTGGCACCTCTGACACTCTTTGTCCTTGATCTGTTCACTTGGGAGACACTGTCCATTTCATCCTGTCACTGCTAGAACCACAGAGGTCTATGGGAACAGCTAGGGCACACTCACTAGCACGGAGACCTTGACTGCATCTCGGTGATAAGAGCTTCCCCATTCTGTACCTCTCCTGACCTGTTTAAAGCCAGTACTTTTCATCTAAAGCATCAAGGGAAGATCAAGTGTCCATGACTGTGAGATGGTTCTAATCCCTGGCATTTCTATCATTTTTTCTGCATGTTTTATTCATATTTTGTCTTTCAGGCCATAGTCAGTCTGGCTTTAGGGCCAGATGAGCATCCTCCTAAGATGTGGGCACTTCGTACAATCACCCCCACTGCCCCTTGCGTCAGGATCTGGCTGCCTGGCCCCTGTGCATGGGACACCAGGAATCGGAGGACATGAGGGGCAGAAGCTGGAGCAGGAGGAGGCCCTTGTTCAACCACAGAACCTCCCTGATTCGGATCAGGTCTCAGAACACCCTCTTTGTGCCATTCTCTTCCTAGAGGGTGAGATATCTCTTGCTTTCCTCTACCTCCAGTCAAAACAAGGTCTCTCAAGTGGGGGCTGGTGACTAACAGCTATAGGTATGAAGCCAGCTGGGGTGGGCATGGTGCTCATCTGCTGGGGCTAGGGTTGGGCCTGGTGCTTTGGAAGCCCTCTAGGCTGCTGACAGCTCCCCCCTCGCAGGACAGAGCTGCACAGATTACAGGTGTCCCCCATACTTCATCCGCTGGGCAGGAGAATGGAGTGGGGATGGCTGAGCAAGTGGCTTCAGTGTGACTAAGGCCATCAAACTGGATGAGGATAAAAACCCAAGCATAGTCAGAGCAGGCTGTTAGGCCCCCAGCATCCCCCTTGGTCAGCAGCCTGGCCTCCGGATTCCCTAGGGTCCTTTGCCTCAGCAAAGCTCCATCTGCTCTGCCTTACACCCCTTCCTTCCTTCCCCAAGTGATCTGGCCCTGCAGCCCAAGTGGGGCGGCATGAGTGGTGCCACTTGCTAGGGAAGTTGGGCCTCAATTCTGTACCCTGAGGCCTTGGATCCTGAGGAAACTGAGGCAGGTAGGAGCCACTCAGGGGTTCAGGTTTCCATGAAAGTGACCATAGCCTTCACTGGGGCTGGTCTGAATGTGGCAGCCTTAGCCCTAGCATGCCCTGGCTGCAGGGGACAGTCACGCATTTCCTCACAGCCACTTTGTGCTCCAAGAGAGGACCTGCAGGCTCAGACTCCAAGGAGCATAGCTGTGGGTCATAAGGTACATATGAAGTTTGCCTGAGCAGGACTGCCTGGTCAAAAATGAAGGGATGCCCCTCTGGCCAATCAGCAGGAACTGCCAGGAGTCTCTACAGGGTCTCCTGAATGTAAAACCTGGCCATAGGCCCTCCAGTCCCCAAGTTCATCTATCTTTGTGCTGTGTAAGAGTGACCCCAGAGGCTGCTGCGATAGTTCCAGGGCAGTCATGCTTGGCTTTGCTCCTGAGTGGCCAGCTACAAGGTGGGAGAGGAGCCCTGAAACAGGACTGGTCAGAACTATCACCTTAACTCTGCCACTACATCAGATCTGTGAGCCTGGCCAGATGCCTTCTCTGCTCTCAGCTTCACCAGCTGTGAATCAGGGGTTTCCCAGTATGACTCCAAAGAACCCATGATGGGGACTGATTCCTATGATTGGATCCCAAAGCATATTGCACCCACAGGCATCCCTACTCTTGGGTATGGTGGTGCTTCACTACCTGTGGCCATGACGGACCACCAGGTCTGGTGAGGAGCAGATACAGCCAGAACAGCCTCCTCGCAGGATGCCTCTTCCCATTTTGCTCCTCACTATTCCCCAGGAAATGGGTGAGCAAGGAGGCAAAGGATTCCTGTCCTAGGAAGGCCCTGCACAGAGACCTGGGAGAGTGAGTGTGGGAAGATGGATAGAGGATGGAAGGATGGATGGGTGGGTGGATGGATGGATGGATGACAGAGGATGAAGAATGAATGCATGGTGGATGGAAGGTGGATGGATGAATGAATGGATGATGAAGAGGAGGGAAGAAGGGAAGAGGAGAGGGAGGGAGAGAAGGAGGAGGAATGAATGGATAGATGGCAAAAGATGGACAAACAGATGGTAGGATGGTGGATGGAGGATGGGAGGAAGGGGTGCAGTTACTTTGCCCACTTAGTAATTAATACTCTTTCAAGAAATTTGCTGTCAAAATTGGAACTCTGCCCCAAACAAGATTTGTGGATTATTTATAGTCTACTTCTTCCCCCAAACCAAGGAAATGGGAACCCCCTAAAGTCTTGGTTCCTAGAGCAACATCTCCCATCCCCACTGGGAGTATGGAGAGCTGAAAGTGAGCTCAGAAACTGAGAACATAGTACTGGACGTATCATTAGCTGGAAGACACAGCAAAGGCCCTGATGGCACAAGAACAATATGAGAGATTTCTCTAAATGCAGGGTGCTTGTTTCAAGCAAGCTCTGGGCCTGACTGGCAGTGGAAGTGGGTCTGTGGGCAGGGTGGCCTAGGTGGGACTGCAGTGAGACTCACAGGGGCCCCTGGACCACAAAGGGCTGGGCTGAGGTGGCCGGCATGAAGAGCATGCACAAGTCAGGAGAGCAACATACACTTACGGCGTTATCCCCCAGGATGTCCAGCTTCTTCATTAGCTCTGTAACCAGGATGTCCTAGGAGGCAAAGAGAGGGACACGTGAGCAGCAGCCAGGTGAGACTGTGCAGGCAGAGGCAGGAGAGGGCATTACCGTCACGCCTTCAGCCTCGCAGTACACCTGGAGGGGGCTCTTCCCATCCACGAAGGGTGTGTGGTGGAAGTTGATGGCAGGCGATTTCCTCTCCCTCTCCTAAGACAGAGAGCAGAGGCTGGGCATGGTGGGCTGTTCTCACCCCGCCTCCTCCCTCCACGTAATGCTGTGTGGGGGCTCAGGGGACATGGTCCACAACCACACAAGGAGGAGTCAGCATGGTGTTTCTGAAAACCAAACCCCTGCAGATGCCTTGATGGCAGAAACCTCATTGAACTTGCCCAAGAGGACCATCCCTGTGTGTTTGCTCACTCCAGATGGATATGGGGATCCTGGTATCATCATGCTCTGGCTGTTTGCGGGGACCACCCAGAGCCATTTGCTCATGCCCTGGCAAAGGGGGCTGTCAGGAGGCCCAGGGGAGAGGCCAAACATGGGCAGTGACCCACGGCCCTGTCAGAGCAAGTCATCTACATAGCATGGCCACACTATCCTCCTACCCCAGGGAGGTGAACGGGAGAACTCTGAGAAGCAGATCCATCTGGACTCTGAGTTGGCTTCAGCCCGCTAGACCTAGATGGAGGCTAGAGCATGTAGGGTGACCATTCGGGGTAATGCCTGCACAGCGCTGCTCAGGCTACCTCCTCTGGGCCTCGCAGAGGGGCCACACTGCCTGGTCACAGTGGAAGGTGAGTTTGGTGACATGGCCACCCACACCCAGTCTGACCTTCCCTGAAGGATTCTTGCTCCCTCCTTCCCTTCTCTGCAGGTCTTGGGGGCCAGGGATGGTAGGGCACACAGCTGAAAGGTGCCTGACCACTGCATGGCACCCTCTGCTACTACTCAGAGGCTTCTATGAGCAAGAAATAAATGTCTGCTGGGCTAACCACTGAGGTCTGGGCGCGGTCCCTGCCACTCATCACCACCAGTGCCACTCCAGCCAGTGACAGGCTGAGAACATCGTCCTGACTGTTGAGGCCCCGCAGATCCCGACACAGACACTGGTCTTTTGTGTGTTTTGCTTTGCTTTTGTTTTCCCTTTATGATGCTGAGTTCCATGCTTGCACCTCAGGTTACATTCACTTTGCCTCGCTGGCTCCACCCCTCCTAGGAGATGCAGTTTACAGCACTTGCCCCTTTCCTCTCCAGCCTGGCCTTTTGGGTTGCTGTTCAAAAGCTCATAAGGATTCAGAGGTCCAAGGAAGGCAGCCAACCTCAGGGCCTTGTGGCTGGGGCAGCTCAGTCCCACAGCCTGTACCTCGAGCTCCAGGATCCTGAACTCCAGCAGTTCGTTCTGATCCTTTGCGTCCTGGACATCATGCTTGAGTCGGGCCTCCTCCATCTCCATTTGTTTTATCTGAAAATTAGAAGATGATCAGACTGAAAAGGGACCTAGTTCTCTTTCACTAGAGGGTATGTGAGGCCAGCTCCCTTGCTTTTTGCACAGCCGCTGTCTGTCCACGGGGACAGCTGACTGGCCTGGCACATAGTCCTGGAACATCTTCATACTGCTTGTAGCTCTGAGCATTCAGTCCAGCCTAGGTTTGGGTCTGAGCTGGTGAGACTGGACAAACCTTCACACCTTAGATAAATGGAGCAGGAGGTGCAGGATAGGCAGGGACAGCTGTAGTGAGCAGGCAAGCCGTGAAGCCCAAGAAGAAGCCATGAGAAAGATGTGGGGAACGGAGGGGCTATCAAGGCATCTGTGTATGGTTCCTGGAATCAGGTTGGCCCTGAGCACAAGACACTGTTGTCTGATGGGAGGACCAGGGTTGAGGATGCCTGGTCCTGCTCCAGAATTGATGTGGCTGGTTCAGGGACTTTTTCAACAGATCTGGTAATGAGTGAATGTGATATGGAGGCCCACGGCTTCAGAAAAGCAAACATGATACAGCCCGCAGCGTACATCTTCAGCAGCTTCGTGAGGGCAGGCTGTGACTGTGGGCTGTGTCCTTGCCCCCCAGAACCACACTTGAGGGACTGAGGGGCCTGCTCTGACGCTCAGAAGATGGGCAGGATGAGTGGAGGAGCACTGGCTTCCTGTGTGTGAGCTGATTCAGGTGGGTGCTGGATAGCTCCTCAGTGCCAGCTGTTACCCGGCCTCGCTGCAGTGGTGAAGCACCTACAGGGCCAGGAATATGACCCTGTACACAGCATAGCCAGAGAAGCATACAGGTTTTAAGCATGCATGTGAGTGTGCATGCACACAGTGTTTATTTGTGTATGGGTTAAAGTGTGCATGTGAACATTTAAATGTGCATGTGTTTGAGTATGTGTGTGTGAGTGCATGTGAGCATCTCCATGAGCGAGCTGGCATTTAAGGATCACGTGTGTGTGTGTGTGTGTGTGTGTGTGTGTACATGTGAGAGTTTGGGTGTGCACCTTGGAGTATGCAGTGATGATGAAGTCTCCCACATGAACTTTGAGATTCCCATCACCCATTCTGTGTCTGGACCCATAGAACCACTGCCTCTCCCCTCATTCCATACTACGTACCCCACTTAGATGGTCCTGAGCTGCTCAGATGTGGTCTAAGAAATCACTCGCAGCCTCAGACCCTCAGTGCTTTGAACCTGTTCTTTAACCAGCTCATGGGATGGGCTGAACTAAGGAGATGGCATGATATCAAAGGCAGATGTCCCTAGACTGTAAGTCATGCTTATCCTGGTTTGTGCAAGTCTTGTAGAAGGCGTGGTGTTCCCAGGCAGAAGCTAATGCACTAATAGCCTGGCTGTACACCATATTTTCTCACTCATCTTAATCAGAGAAAATATTCTAACCGATAAATCCCAGCCTGGGAGTGGGGAGAAGTGACAGCATTCTTGGAGCTTCTCTTCATCCAAAGGCCAAGAGAACCCATAAGTGACCCTGCCAGGTGTTTCCCTAGTCAAAGTAGAAACATAATCACTCAGCCAGAAATAAAAACCCAGGTTCATCTGTGGACTCTCAAAGGGGCTGTTCCCTGAGGACCATTCAGCCTTTGTGATGAACATTCCCTACCCCAGGGATGACACCAGGAGTTTCAGAAAGGCAACTCTTTCCAAAGATTCGCTAATCATCTATGGAACCCATCAGTGCAGCAGACCACAAATCAAGACATACTGCAGACACAGGGCTCTGCTGGACTTGGAGGAAAGGCCCTGTTCCTTCCCTCCAGTAGACAGAGGAGTAGCTGAGTTCAGGCTCCCAAAGATGAGCCACTGAGAACTGGCAACCTCTGCCGAGCCCATGGCCACTCCACAGGACCGCCCTGTGCCCCATGAGTGCAGGCGCGTCTTGCACAGGGCTTGGGCTTGGGCATACCTTTTCTACAAGCTCCTGATTTCTTCGATACAGTGCTTGCTTCTCTTCAATCCATTTCATATCCTTGAAAGCAGAATTGAAATAAAGACATAAATACACAGCAGAAGAGCATAAAGCCATATGCACATCATGATTGCCCAGAGTGGAGAATGACTACACCAGCTTCTGAAATATCCCCTAGTGACAGTTTATGGTGCACAGAGAATGGAAACCAGTGGGTCTGCCTGTCTCCTTGAGAATCCTGCACTTCAGGAGGATGTTTCAAGGGTGTCCTATGCCACCACACAGATAGCACCCAGAGCCCCAGGCCAGGTGCCCAGGAACACATAGTACACAGCATGGACATTGCTGGTCCAGGAGATCCTGACATGGGGCCAGTGAGGACTCAGGTTGTGAAGGAGACCAGGGGGCAGGTGGAAGAGGATGGAACACCTAAGCTGGAGTCCTGTCCACTCAGACCAAGACACAGGCAGATGGCAAGAAGGAATGGAGGCCTCCTGACCCTGTCTGAAGGTTCCATTTGGCAGGAAACCCAGTGCACCTGGCAGATACTCTTCTACCGGGACACCCTCTTATCTGCTTTGCCACCAGTGACATTTTAAATTTTAAAGCAGTGTTGGGAGGAGAGCTGGTTGCCCCTGATAGTGGCTTCATTGCACAGTTCTTGCCCACAGAGACAGCTTCAAGGTGTGGTCAAGTCTGGAGGATTCATTTTGCCAAGGAATGAGGTATCGTAGCCTCCTCCCCTTTTGAGTTCCGACCTCCCTGGCCACTTTTCTTTTCTCAACACAAACAATAGGATGCAGGATCTTGGACATGACCCTAAACATTAGATGGAGCCTTAGGAATGCGCCTGCGACATCTGAGCTGGGGTCACCCATTGGTCAACAAGGGCAGTGCATGGTGTATTTCAAGTGCCACTGCCAAAAGCCCATGTGCCTGGTTTTCTGGAGGGTGGATAAGTGTCAGCTAAACAGAGAGGTATGCAGTGCTGAATTCCAGGGTGTTGGCAATGTGGCCTGGCCACTGTTCTCAGTATCCTTTTGTCTGTCCATCTATCAGTTAACAAGTGAAGAACACCATGGACCTGGCACAGGGCAGGACAGAGCCCAGGGAAACATGTCCCAACTCTCAGAACGTTCTCAAAGCTTTCCCCACCCGACACAGACGTCCTCCAGCCTTGTCTCAGGCCCAGTAAGTCAGAATGTGATACTCAGGCCCTGAGGCCACTGAGAACAGATGTCCCCCATGGGACCTGAAGAACCCAGAGGTGGTTGGTGTACAGTAGTGTGGAGAGGGACACCCTCCTATCTGGTGACAAGCTACTGGCAAAGCATGTAACCTGCCCTCTGGTCACCTTTACCAGGAGCCCCAGAGCAGGAAGTCTATTGTTCCTGCCAGATACAGCTTAGGCTTTTCCCTTTGGAGTCCACAGAAGGGCTGCAGGACCTAAAATCCTGGCCCTAACTCAGAGGATTAATGAACTATGCCATGGTCAACCCAGGAGAGACTTTGTCCCATGGTTGGCAGATTCCCACTTGCATGGAATTCCTTCCAGCATTTAGAATTTTTATTGTCGTGGGATACCCGATAGTGCACACTAAAGCTACTAATTTTCAGCATGTGTTGAATAATTCCTACCCAGGTCCCTCCATCCTCCTGGATAAGAGGCTTTGTAGCCCCTAAGGGCCAGTTCTTCCCAAGACTCCCCAGGCCAGAGGACGCCAGCACCCATGAGCACCACTGGGAGGAGCTCACCTGCCCCTGCTCGGCCAGTGCCTTCTCCAGGTCCTCCACCCGTGTCTGTGCCCTCTGCACCTCTGCTTGAAGCTGCTCACGAGTCTGTAGGACAGGAGCAAAGACACATCAAATTTTCCCTAACAGCCAGGACAGATAGACAGGCTCAGAGGGACGCGGGCTTTAGGATACTGCCTCAGGTCTAGCTACTGAGAAGTGACTGTCCTCTCCATTAAAGGGACATTTCCAGGAAAGGAAGAACTTTGAAGCTGTGCAAGTGAGTGCTCTCACCTAAGGCATAGCAGAAAATGTCTGTGGACTAGTTCTGAGAGCTTCTTAGGTGAAACCCTTGTTTACAGGGTGAAACAAGTGACAAGGACGCCTGGGCCTGTGTGCTGAGCCTGCTGGTGCTGGACACACCAGTGTGAAGGGCCTTCTGAGATGAACGGTGGAAGCTCACAATCATGCTGCTGCCAGCCTGGGGTTCACTGCTGTGTCTGCACCTTACTTCCCCAGATCCTGTCCCTCATTTGGAGGATGAGCTCCATGATTTATAAGGGAGCCCCTGAGTTGGAAAGTTCCTCCTGGACACCACCTGGGCTTGCGACCAGGTCAAGCTGCTCTTTCTTCATTTAATTTGTTCTCCCCAGATCCACAACAGGAACATTTTACCCCATGGGTATCCCTGCTCTCTCTGGGTGCAGTGCCTGGGGCAAATGAGCACTGGACTGCAGGGTATAGGGGCTGAGGTCCATCACCCCGGAAAGGCAGAGCCAAATGTGTGGCTCATAGTCTTAGGATGATTAAGCCCTAAGACGGAGCCCTGGTCCCCAACCCTCGGGATGACTGAGACAGAGACTATCTCTGGCATTTTACTTTATCCTAATATCATGCAAAATTTAAATTAAAAAAAATTAAAGAGGGAACATCAAATTCCCTTTTTATGCAGCAAAATATTCTGTCCATTTTCCTGCTTCTCAGTTCAGGGGAGGGGAAGTCTCCTTCACAGACAGGCAAGCCTTCGCCCACCAGGAGCACTGAGGGGGCACACCAGGGCAAGGCCTTTGCTTCAAGACGTCACAACAGGTGACCTTAATGAAATTTCCAGAAAGCATCAGGGGACACCTTTCCAGATTAGCGGGGTAGTCAGGAGGCTCCCTGACAGCAGCTAGGAGGATGCATCTGGAGTAGGGGGTACTATTACTGTCCCCTCACCTGAGAGATCTGTCCTCTACCCAGACCACAACCTTAAGTTGCAGAATCACCAGGTGATGATGCCTCTTCCCCTGCAGAGTGGTTAGGGGGAGCAGAACTGCCTGCAATGTCAGATGCCACCACTGCCTGCTCAGGAGGTCCCTCACCTCTCTAGGCAGAGGCCTGTGTCCCTAGGTGGTGCTCCAGCCACAGCACCTTTCCCTGGTAAGCCTATATTCCCGTTGGAGCAGCAAGGGAACTCCTTCCCTCCTCCCCCATGTGGCCTGGTACTGCCCCTGGAGACCAGCAGAGGGCGCCCGCCAGCCCCATTTTCCAGCCTTTCCTGGATGCCAGCCACTCGCTCTGGGCATGTCCAGGGAAAGAACACTGCTGCTCCACAAGGCAGGCCCTGAGCTCAAGACTTGGATGAATGAACAATCTCAGCAGGTTAAAAATAAAAAAAATAAAAAACAACTAAGCTCGAATGCTGCCCCTAGTTTATCTGTGCCTCCTTGTTATGGAAACTTCCTAAGGGCATTCCTGCAGGTTTGGGCAAAAGATGACTTTGTCTTAGGGTTTTACAGGCTCCATGTGCACTGGCCACAGCTCTTGGCAGAGACAGATGTGGCTCTTGAAGGACCCTCACCCTCATCAGCCTGGGATGTCCCAGCTGGGGGCTCCACAAACCCTAGCTTTTAATGGCCTCAGTGAGCATCGTCAAGGACTGGCACTAACGGTGAGGGAAGGGGCTTGGCCTGCAATCTGGGCACACACAGTGTGCCTTCCCGGGCCACAGGGGATAAGCAGGAAGGAGCTGAGCGGGAGCCGGAACATCGTGGAGTAGAAGTCATTTAGACCTTAACTTCTCGCTCTGCATCCAGGGTTCCTCCAACCTGCTCCTGCAGCAGGGCATAGGCTCGCTGCAGCGCCTGGTACTCCATGGTCAGCTGGCGGAACCGCAGCTCCGTCTCTTCCTTGGCCATGCCCTGGGTAGCCACACAGCACCACATGCACACAGAGAGAGAGGCGCGTTAGCGTAGGCCCCACACCACAGCTGTCACCACACCTGGACAGCCAGCGCTCTTATTCTTCCCAGAGAGGTGGAAAGGAGGAGTGTTGCTGGCAGCATGAGGGAGGAAGGAGTTGGGGGGAGGCCCTCTGTAGCATGTGGGGAGGGGCACGCTTTGGAGAAGGCTCCTCTGGAGGTGATCTCTGAGCCTGAGCTGGCCATGCAAAGGCAAGGGTGAACTTTGTGGGTTGGTGACCAGTGGCTGGAGGCTCAGCTGGGGCTTGCACTTGCCAGTCTGTCTACTCTGACCTACTGGACCCACTGTTGCTGACCAGGATCCCACATGGCTCTGCTCTGAAGAAATGTGTGATGGGGAGTGTGCTGGGGTTTGGGGAAAAGTATAGAACCAAACAACACATTTCTTTCAGGCCTGTCCATCCCAGGCTTGCTCTGGCAGAGTTATCTGTAGGATGGTCCTTCTAGGTGCAGTGACATCTGTGATCCCAGGGACAGGCAGGTACGAATAGGTCCGTTGTTGCCTTAAAGGAGTCCCTACGGCCCTAGGGTTGTGATAGTGGGCCATGTCCAGGAGTGACCAAGCTCAGAAATCCTGCTCTGGTTCTATCTCATGACCCATTCTGCCACTATGTCCCATGAGAGCTGGCAAGTCCAAGAACTGCTTCGGAAATCCCAAGTTACCTCCTCCAAGTCATCGTCTGGTGTGCAAGGGGTCTGGTCTGTCCTGTCAGTTTGATAAGAGATGGAAGAACCGTCGGATTCCAAGGAAGCTTCTTCATCATATCCAAAGAAAGTCTCCACGACAACTGGCTTCTGACCAAAATGTGACATGTTAATGCTTGACCAACAGTACTAGGCCTTTCCCCACCTTCTTGTTGCCCATGGTTGTGCAGGCCATGGCTGTGAAGTTGTCCACCCACTGCATGGCCCCGCCCTGAATGCACTGCTGCCTTTGTCTGAATCTGGTAGGGGGGGCTGCCTCTCACAGGGCCAGATGGTGTGAGCACATCATCGTGGTTGTTCCAGGAGCTGGACTGGTGAAGAGTGGAAGGAGAAAGGACTGGGATCTGTATGGGTAAATGGTTTCTGGACTTAACCTTCATGCATGAGGAACCAACATAAGCCCAAGAATGAGTACTTCTTCTGATGTATGGTCACTTTTCTAGTTATAAATTTCTGTTGTATCTTTACAAGTATTAGTTCTTGACAGGTTGGAATAGAAACCAAAACAAAATGAGTCCTCCATGGCCTAGTTTGAGGGGTCCTGCCTTTGGGAATCCCCCTGGGACCCCTAACTCTTTATGGTTAGCATTGGGGTTGTTGCTCAGTGGTAGAGCACTTGTCTAGCACACAGAAGTCATGGGTTCAATCCCCAGCATCTCAATAAATAAACAGCAACAATACACTCTTAGGTTTCCTCATTCTAGGTTTTAGAAATATTATAAAATCCAAAACCTGGCCACCCTTTTTCAGTCACTTAGGGTCCCTTCATTGGCCAACTCTGTGAATTAGCATCTGGTTGCTGTGGCCACCAGGTCTCCCTGTTAGATCTTCCACTAGAACCTTCTAAGGAAGCTCCTCCCTGGGTCCCAGGACCACCAGCTACCCCACAGACCACTGTCACTCGTCCCTGTCTGCATGCCCTTCCCAGGTACCTGCATCCTCTGACCTCTGACCAAAACAGAACTCTAGGCTATTTCCCTGTCCCCCTTGACCACCACCTGCCTCTCCAGCTGAGTAACCACCTGACATTTCCTGAATTGAGCCACTGCCTCTCTGAGAAAGTCTTTCCATATACTCCAATCTTTTCCCAGATCCCCACTGAAATATCTAGAAAACAGACACTCTGAAGCATGAACCTGAGGTTCCTTTACTGAATTTCCAGCCCCTGTTGTTGGCTGATTGTTTATCTTCAAGCTTGCCAGTGGCCTGGCCTCCTCCTGTCACCCATGTCTGGGTGGGCCAGGGGTTTTCCTGTCACCCCATGTCCAGTCAGAGGCCTGGCCTCCTGCTCTCATCTCATGTCTGGTCAGAGGCCTAGCTTCCTCCTGTCACCCCATGTGTGAGAGGAGCCTGACCTTTCTGTCACCCCAATCCAGGGAGGCCTGGCCTCCTCTGATCACTCAGGCATCCTTTGTCTGTCTTCCAGTTGCTCCTGTCTCCTCGACACTCTACTTCACTCTTTCCAGGTTGCAGTAGCCTCCTGATTGCTCCTCCTGCTGATCTGCCCTGCTGATGTCATGTCTTTCTTTGCTGAAACATCACTGGTCCCTTCATGTTCCAGCTCTTTACAGTTCAAAGGCCACTGCAAGCTGGGGTCCTCTACAGCCTGGTCTAGGCCTTCTGTTTGACTTGCCCAGCTTCTCCTTTCTCCCACAGGAACCTGGACAGCTAGAGTAGCAGTGCCTCTGCATAATTTCCAGTGTCCTGCAGTGACCCCAAAGAGAGAGGGGCCCTGGTAACCTCTTCCTTTTCTTCAAGCCTTTCTAAGGGCCAGACAAGCAAGTGTCTTGGCTGAGGAGCATCTCATGGCCCATCGAAGAGCACTGCACAGTGTTTAAAAACAACACACGTATTTTACAGAGAGTTGGAGACAAGTTAGTTCCTTTGGGAATTTCTCCAGTGACTGCCTTAATAAAAATCAGTTTATCAAAAAGGATTTTACTCCAGAGAAATTCCCCTAGGACTTCAATGTTCCTAGGGGTGCAGGTCTGCTGTGTGGGGCCTGTGTGGGCTGTGGACGAAAACTACGGCAGCCGCACCAGTCACTGACCTTGAGAACTGGCAGCATGGCAACTTCTGGATCCAAACTCATCAGCCACAGCGGTGAAACCACCCACATCCTCCCTGACTTTCCCAGAGACTGAGGCTGTGCCCAGTGCTTTTTTTTTTTTTTTTTTTTTTCCACAAACTGTACCAGAACAATCAGCATTCCCGACAAACAGTTCGAAGTATAAATATAGCTACCACTTCGTGAAAAACCCTGGAGCACATCTTGTTTGCGTTTGGTGTCTCCTGGATGGCAACCTTAATGAGCTCCAAATAAGCATAATAGTTCTCTGTTTTCAGCTAGGTTGATATGATCTCCGTTAACAAAATTTAAATTTATAAACAGGATATTTGAGTGTTATTTTGGTTGTTTCAGAATAACAACTTCTAGAAGTCATAAAATTATTTCCTTTTCATCTCCAAAGAAAGAGAATCATTCCCAAGAGTTTTTCTGCAAACTGAGATTTTACGTCCACAGATACCAGTGTTCCCTCCTTTACCTTGGGGAGCTTCGCCATTTTCTTTCTTTGTTTCCGATACCTTAAAAGCTTATCACGCTCCTGCAAAAAACCAGTTGGAGAGATTTTTTTAAGTAGTTGAACAGCTCCATCAGTTTCATAATGTTTGCATACTGTCATTTGGACTGACTAGTCTTAAATTGGCGGATTGTCCCTGTGGTCATAGACATACTGTATTTTCCCAGATGGCTGGGGTAGCTCTTCCTCTCTGCCAGCCTGGAACACACGAGCCTCTGTTTAGATGGGCTCTGAGCTCCTTTACTGCCCTCCATCAACCATGAGCTCCCCTTCCATTTGCATCTTGGTGTCAGTGGGTGGGGGTTGGTGGGAAGAACTGGGGTGTTGGAGATCTGACGGCCCAGGCTCCTCCTACGCTACGCAGTATTCACACTAGTGATTAGGCAGCTGCTTCTGTCTACACTGCGAGGAACCATCAGCAGAGTGGGTCCCGTGGACAGCCAGCACAGGACAGGGAGACTGTCAGGTCAGGAGAGAGACACAGATTGGTACTTACTAACACGCTCTTTACATAGCCAGCAGTTTCGAGGGTCTACGGAAAGAAAACAGCATGTTATAAAACAGAAGGTGCAGACCTTGCTCCTGCAGGGACCTGCAGAGCCCTGGAGTGGCCTCCAAATTCCCATTGCACCCTAGCCGCAGAATCATGTTGCTCAGAGTCCTTTGGGCCATGCACTACCATCCTGAGAGGGAGGTTCTACCCCAACCATCCTTTTTCCTTTCCTGAGCTGATCTGCTGAGGGCTCCCTGAACATTCCAAACCCCAGGAACCTCTGTTCAGAACTGGTGGGCCTTCTGTTCACTGGGCAGCATGAGAAAGAGGCCTTCCTTCAGAAATTGCAATTCTGTACAATGTAACTGACCAAGGTTTCATCCTTTTCCTACTTCCATTGTAAATTATTGTTATTGTTCAGATTGATATCACTATGTCATTCAATAGAAAAGAATTCAAAACTCAGTCATGACCAAGGTAGACTGCCTTAGTGACACTCCTTCCCACAGCCCAGGCTGAGGTCTTTCTGTTCCTTGTCATGTGACTTTGGAGGCAGCTTTAGTATTGAAAAAGGCAGTGACAGAGAAGCACTGAGGTCCTGCTGCTTGCTTACAGTTCCTTCTGAAATTATCTCAGCATGGGTCTGCCAGGATCCCAAGGAGATGCAGAAAGTTAGGAGCCCCCAAATTGGGATAGTAGGAGAGTTTCATGAAACACTAGTTCCCTATTTGTAGGGAACCCACAGGGACAGAGCAGTGGAAGGGGCTGTGAAGTAGCCCCCTAAAAAAATGTATTCACAGCCAAATCCCCAGCACTTATGATTGGGACCTGATTTGGACATAGGGTTGTTGCAGGTGTAATTAAGTAAAGGATGATAAGATGAGGTCTTTCCGGAGTCTGGCGGGCCCTAAACCAAAGGTCTGGCCTCCTATAAGACAGAAGGAAGGGAGACTATTCAAACAGAAGAGGAGGCCAGAGGAAGACAGAGGCAGAGATAGGAGTGATGTGGTCACAAGCCAGGGAATGCTACAGCCCCCTAGAGGCTGCCTGGGGAAAAGAGCAGACCCAGGGGGCCCTGGAGGGAGCATGGCCCTGCCCTCCAAAAGCTTAGAGTTTGGGCTTGTGGACTCCAGAACTGTGAGAGGATGAATTGCACCTGGACTATGGAGATTTGTTACTAAATCAGGGACTACTGCTGGCCTTGGGGCCCCAAGGAGTAAGAGTGGCGAGGAGATCCTGGGACAGAGCTGTCTAAGAGGGCCACCTTAAACAGTGATCAAAGCTGGTGACCCAGCCTGAGAAGGCTCCACAAATGCTTGCCCACTTTTCCCTCCATCCCCACCCCTGGGAAGCCAGGACAGGCAAGGGTGTGTGGTATGTGGTCACCTTGGAGAGCTCATCAATGAGGCTCTGCTGCTCTACAATTTGAAGCTTCAGGAAGTCCACCTCCCTCTCATCCTGACTTTGGTCAAGGTCGTTGAGGGAGCTGGGTCTTCGGATGATCCCGGCTCTCTGCCTCTGAAACACCAAGTGGGCTGTGTCACAAGTGGCAGGAACGCGGTCTGGCTGGACAGTAGTGCTGGGCTCGTCCCGCTGCGCCTGCAGGAGCAGCTCTTGGTCACCTTGGCTGCAGGCCAGGGCTGCTCTGCTCGGGCCTCAGAGCAGCTGGCTACAGAGCCCACAGAAAACTGAAGCCTATGTCTTGGCTGGGCCCCATAGTGAGAGTGAGGCTGTGCAGCCTAGCACCACACACAGCCAAAGTCTGCCCAGACGGGAAACCAAAGCACCCTTGAGGAGGAGGTTGTGGAGCTACCAGTGCACACGTGTAGGCTGCACTGAAGCTGCAGCTCAGGTTGAAGAGAAGGCTTTTCTGTTAGGAAGGGACTGGGGGCATTCCTGCCACTGCTCCCCATCACGCTGAAATACTTATTGGCTGAACTTGCTTCATGGCCTCTGGACTCCTTAGGGCCAGGAGGAAAACAAAAATACCACTAACTACACATGATCAGACTTAGAGGCCCAGGCAAGAGTGCGGCCTGCCTGACCAAGGCTCAGTGTTCTGTGCCAGACCTGCTCCTCCTGACCCTCTCGGAGGTCAGGATCCTAGGGCCTCTTGCTTGCTTCATCTGGGATTTTCAGAGTTGGGAGCTTGCTTGCTCAAACCCCTGGTGTTGGACATAGGCAGAGAGGCCTAGGTGGGAGGGGATGTGTGACGGGCTTAATGGGCCTCTGCTCAGCTCTCCTTCTGCCTTTCTGCCCTGGCAGGCACCACACCCTTCCTTCCCAAGATCTGCTCTCGTCTGAGGCTTCTCTCCTGCAAGCAGGCTCATCTTGGTTCCTCACCCATGAGACTAGCCTTGACCCTGAGGGCCAAGTGTGTGGCAGGCTCTGCCGTGTCATTAGACAGCACAGAGATGTGGAGGGCGCTGCTGGCCAGGCTGTGCACAGCTGCTGCCCTGCCACCTGGCAGACCCTTACCATTTCCATGTTCTCCTGGGTGACAAATTTCAACTTGCTTTCTATTCGCCGTAATGTGTGAGACAAATCTTCATTTTTCCGAGTAAGGCGTTTGTTCTTATCCAGCAGTGGCTTGTACTGACTTTCAGCTTCTCTTAAACGCTTTAACTGAAATAAAAGTTAATTATACCACATGATTTTTTTAAGTAACAGAAAACAGACAGGTCTCTACCTACAGTCAGCAAACTGACCAGACAAAGCTTCCGCTCAAGGGCAACATTATCAGCCCACTCGGGCCATCTCTCTATCTCCTCAGGGTCTGGGTGCCGGGATGTGCCAAGGACCACCAGGATGTGCATGTGCTCAAGTCCTTACATAAAGTCATGGGTGTCGTATTTATACATAACCTATACATATCGTCCTGTATACTTGAAATCATTTTGGATTACCTATAATACCTGATACAATGTAAATAATGTGTAACTAGTTGTTACCCTGTATTGTTTAGGGAATATCGGCAAGACAAAACAACAATGTGTGTTCAGTACAGATGTGATTTTAAAAATATTTTTGATCCAGTACCGGTTGAAGCCACAGATGTGGTACCTGTTGGTACAGGATTAGTAGGTACACAGGGCCAGCTGTATTTACAAAGTTTGGCCTAGGCCCCTGGTGGAGCCCCCAGGTTGACTGGTGCTCTCCATCCATGCAACACTCAGGAGATCTTTGGATGGGGATAAAGTTGAACTACAGCATTCTGGGGCCAATGTTGTTTGCAACTAAGAGGTGCAGTAAAGTTATGCTGGCCCCCTTGACCATTCCAGCCACTCTGAGCAGCTCTCATGCCCTCTGTGAGCTCAAGTCACTCAGAAATCTCAATAGGTTTGAAGACTAACAGTGACAGCTACATTGAAGGGCAGTGTCTTTACACATCTCAGGTCACACGTAAAGTTCGGGATACTTGTGCTGTGGTAACACAGATCAGGGATCAGCCAATCAGCACATAGGGACCAAGTTTGGCCCGCCCTTATTTTTGTTAATAAAGTTTTATTGAAACTCAGTCAAGAAGCCTAAATGCAAATTACTTGTCCTTTCACCCAAGGAAGTTTGAAAGTAGGCACACCCCATCTTTCCCCATTTTTCAGCCACAAACTTTTAAGTCCCAAAGATACTCCGCACCACTCACCAGCTCATTCCTTTCTTCTGACAGCAAGGCATTGCGGTCCTCCAGTTTACGAATGATGGCACTTAACTCTGCAATTTTAAGTTGGAAGCGCCGGGCATCTTTTTCATCCAACTGCTGTTCCTAAAACAAAAATCAACTGCAAATAACTGTTCCTAGATGCAGATATATAAAATATTTGCAAGCACAACCCATTATGGAAACCAAACTCTTCTGCATGGTCACTGCCCTTGCTTCCAAATGGCTGCTGGTGGGTGTGGGCCCTCCTGGGGGAGGTGCCATGCTTTGAGCGCATGCACCACAGAACAGCAAGATGAGGACAGAATTGAAGCAGAAATGTCTGGAAGTATGCAAATGTGGAGGGCAAGAGCGTGTAAGTGCCAGCACACAAGAGTGATGAGATGAGCTACATGCTTTCCTTGAGGCCACTGTCCAGCTGCACTTTTCAGACAGGGGCCTGCCTGACCTATCAGTGGGCAAGTCACTTTCACAGGATGAGCATAGGAAAAGACACACATTACAGACTTCTGAAAGTTGCTCTTCCAAGAAGTGTGCTCCCTCAAGTTGAGTTTCTAGAAGGTCACTTTTGCAACCACTGGAACACCATCCAAAAATCAGTGAAAACATTTTAATCCAGTGTCAGTCTCTGGAGTGAATGCAATAGTCTACCAAGCACCAGAGCAGGAGAGGATGGTTCTAACTCAAGTAAGCTGCTTATGATATGACCACAAAATGCTGCTCTCTATTCTTACAATGTCACTGTCCCACAGCTAGCTCAGCTGAACCAGTTTTCCTGCCTGGGTCCTCTAATTGAACAAAAGAGTGTCCAGAAAGGTTCTGGACATGGCTCGAGTTCCTCATTCAATGGGTGCAGGAGAGGCTAGGGACCAAAGACCCAGAGGGACCGTGTCAAGGGTCCATGGATCTAGAATTCCCAGGATATTACAGACCAATGCAGAGGAATCTGAATGAGAAGCAGCGATGACATGGATGAACTTGCAGCCTGTGTGGCTGATGGCTGACCTGCACGGTCATTTACAGCCCATGGAGGAGCAGAAAGTGGCATGGTCACATGAAAAGCAGGTGGGAGTGTGACTGGTGATGTGAGTGCCAGAAACAACTGCATGAGGGGCCAAGCTGGAGACGAGGGCATGTGGCAGCCAGAAGCCTGTGCACATGGGGGTGGAAGCAGCACACACTCCAAGCACCTCATCTCCCACCAGCCAAGGGCAAGAAGTATCAAGGACCCTTATCTACCTGGGGGCCCAGGAGGCAAAGGACTAGTGGTTGCTGTTGGTGAGGAAGAAAGGAGACTGTCTACCAGCCCTCTTGATCACTGCTGATAAAGCGAGGGCTCGGGGGCTGGCTGGAGGGCTCCAGGGCAGAAGGGTCTACCTGGACTTGGGCCAGGGAGCTTCCCACACAGGGCTGTGCAGCCACATGGTGATGTCTCTCTGTGACTCGGGGCCAGAAGGGGTGAGGCCTGGGGTTGCTTACAGGGCTTCCTGAGTGGTCTGAGGCGTCTCCTGCACCGCTTGCATAAGGAAGTTCCCGTCTGGGGCTGCCTGGGTGCCGCTCAGCCTCTCTGGCCTGGGAAAGCTGCTCATCTAGAGCCTCTTTCTGAAGCTGCAGTCTTTGGGCATGCCCGGCTTGAACCCCTAACTCTCTCTCCAGCACGAAGACTGCTCTGTCTTTAAATTTTATCTCCTCCATCTACAAGGAGAACAGAACACAATCACACACGCAGGAAAGGTACAGATCTACAGTTACTATAGAAACAGGCAGTGTGACACTGGGAGGGGTCCCCACGGTGGCCGCAGCCCTGCAGCATCTTGGGTTAGGAGACCAGAAGAAAAGCAAACCATCCTAGATGACACAAGGCACTTCACACCCCAGGCTGCTGTACCACACCCCGGCCAGGCCTCAGCTGGTTCATCCTAGGCTGGTGTCAGCCAGCCCCTTTCTGAGGGGACCCAGGCTCTGTGTACCCCTGCACCACCAGCCTGACTGGCCAGCAAGATTCCCCATCCCCATTCTCAGCGTCTGTGGTCACAGGCATCATCGGGCAGGGCTGAGGGAAGCCTCCCACTGCTCTTCCTTCCTGCTGTACACTGGGTAGAGAAGGGTAACACCCCAAATCACCCATACACACCAACAGGGGGGATATGATGAGCAAGATTCTTTTGTGCACGGCAGAGATGAAAGTGATAAATAGGAGCCCTGGTCCAAAAGCTCTCAAAGCCCCTTGCAGCCCTGATTGCTCACCATCCTCAGAGGTGCCAGACAGGGGAGGGCTGAGTGGTGGTGGTGGGGCACTCCTGCCATCCTTCTCCATCCATCTGTCCTGGACCTAAGGTGTAGCTACAAAGCTGGAGAGCTGCACAGTTGTTTTCAGGCAAAGCTACTTTTCCTACCATCTTGCTGCAAGCCAGCGCTTTCAGGGTGCAGTGAGGGCATCTGGACAAGCAGGCTCTGGAAGGCAGATGTCCAACATGTCTGTCCCACCCTAGGACCTACATGCTGGCCAGGCTGATGACTGTGAGGGTTCTGCAGTATTCCCCACCTTCCCTAAAAGGTGGCATTCTTTGCACTCACCTACTAATGGCAGCAAGAAACCCTTCCACATGCAGCTGCCAGCTGCACTTGGGACCTCTCACTTGGACTGCCCCATCTACATGTGCATGGCCTGAAGTGAATCCCACCGAGTGGACCATGCATGTGGAGAGAAGGTGGAACTCGAGTGCTCTGGACAGCACTGGATTTAAGGAAGATAACAGTATCTTTGGGGAAGAACAACTCAGTTCAAACCATATTTTCAAACAATGAAGCAGACTAGACCTCTTGCTGCTCTGCTTACTGTTTAAGGTTGAAATAAGCGAATATGTTAGTCATCTGGTCAAGTTAGCTTGGAAACAAAGAGATGAGATGTCTAATTAAACCAAATCACAAATTCCCAGGCAAGCTATGAACAGACCAGAATACAAAAAATCCTTAATTGCTAAATTCCCATTTGCTGGAGCACACAGCAGTATGGAAAGAGGTAGCAGAGCCAATTAGTGAGACAAAGCAGCCAGTGAAAATGAAACCATATCAATAGGCAGCTCTGTTCTGGGGCCCAGCACTTACACACAGACATTTACAAACATCACTTCTCCTCCACCAGGAAACAAGAAAGTGAGTCTCCAAGTGCCAACTGGGAGCTGGCTTGGAGTACAGGAGCGACCTGTGTGAGAAGCCATCAGGTAGGAAGGTAGACATTCTGCCCATGCAAAGCCCCATTGCCCCCCACCAAGGAAATGCGGGAACAATGCTGTCATGTGGGCACAGGATGCTTGCCTAGGAATTGGTGACAAAGTCTCCCATACCCGTGGGTCTCTCACACTGAGATTCCTCAGTCAAGTATGTATCTACATCTTCTACTCCTTCTATCTTAGGCATGAGGTCTTGGTGGGAAGGAGAGCGTGTGCCTGCAGGACACCAGATCTGGCCCAGATCAAGATGCTCTGTGGAGCTGGGTGGCCCCTCACTCACAATGAGCTGCTTCTGACCCAGTGCATACATTCAAACATGCGTCATGGGATTGTGACCAATGCTTGTGTGACCAGCCTGTGAAGCTGTCCTGGGCAGTGCAGGTGGAGGCTTCCTGCATGTGTGTGGACTCAGACCCACACACGTGGCTCTCCTCTTGCAAGGGGTTTAACCAAGTGTCTATTAGTAAAGCCACAGGCTGAAGGCCGTGACATGCCATCCCTGGTGTTTCTAAGTGGCAGCTGACCCTTACCCTCCCACAGGGCTGCAGAGCCCAGAGGGCAGTGCGCCTATCCCATACCCCAGCCATCTGTATGCTGACATCGACGTGGCTAGCCTCCCAGTGAGCCCAGAACTGGGGAATTCCTGGGACATGGATTTCCAAAGCTGAAACTAGGGAGTCCTGGTAAACCAGGATGAGTCAGTCACCCCGCCCCCAGGATGGCTGCAGTGGCTTCCAAATGACTTCCCTGTGTCCTCTCCTGAACCAGCCTACTCTGGCCCCTTCAACCACAGAGTAAGCTTTTACAAAGAGATCAGATCTCTTTGCAAAACATCCTCCCCAAGAATAAGGTTCAGAATCCTTATAGGAGCCTACAGGTTGCCACATGAGCTCCCACCGCCAATCCTAGTCCCCCATACTGCCCCTCACTCCCAGTTACAGAGGCCGTCTGGAAACCAGAGGGAGGTCTGTTGGGGTGGTGGATTCCCAGGGAAGGGGTCTACAGGAGGCAGGGAGAACGGTCCTTTTTCAGGGAAGAAGACAGCTCTCTGTACCTGGACTCTTTCCTGCCTCTCCAAGTACTGTACTGAGAACACAGTACAATGCTACAAAGCAGGTGCTCCTGGACAGCTCTGCACCAGAGTCAACAGGCAGACTCCTAGCCCAGCCCCCACACAGGGTGCAACCTGCTGCCTGCACTTTACAAGCACCCTTGCTGATGGTGAAGGATCCTGACAGGATCCAGCCACCACACTGCAGTGCTGAGGTCCCCTGCACACATATGCCCCACAGTACCCCTCAAGGACTCATCTTACAGGGTGCATCACCCTGGTGTGGTCACTCATAGTTGTGGCTGCTCTCATCTGCGCTGGCTGTGCCTCGGTGTTACACGCAAGACCTCTGCCTAAGACATTGGCAGAGTGCTTACTACCCTATAGCAAGTGTCCTTAGAGAAAGACAGGTGTCCTAATCTGCAGAGGCCTCCTGACCCAAGTAATGGGCCCTCCCCTGTGACAGAGGTGGCTCACTCCACCTCAACCTATCTTCTTCCAGAAGGATCTGCATCTCAGGGGACCCTCCCTGCCTATAAACTCTGTCCACAGGAAACCTGAACATCAATGTGTTGCACATGCCAGGCGAGGCTGCTGATTTCCAGTAGATGTGTGGGAGATAAGAAAGGATGTGGTGTTTTCTATGGGCTGCTATTTTCATGGAGGAAAGGTCCTGGAGAGGCTTAATGAGGTGTTGAGAGGAGAAGAAGCCCTGTCACTCAGCCATCAAAGGGCCGAGGAAGGGAGGGGAGATTGCAAAGAATACCCAGACAAGACAGAGAGTTTGATACTATTCAAGGTGAGACTCAGGGAGCGGAGAACATGGAGGTCTGCTTGCACATTCTCAGGTGAATGTGCCCGAAGAAACAGGTCCCCAAGCATCATGCATCCTTGGGGTGGGGTCTGAGAGTCAGAATAAAGAGGAAGAGATGACATTTTAGGTCATAGAGATGAGCCCAGGTGCCCAGAGACAAGCTAGGATCTGTTGCATATCTGAGCATCAACTCTGGGAATTTAGTCCTACGATAATCTACCAATACGATGGGAGCAGTGGTTCTTAAACCTGTGCTCACACAAATCACCTAAGAAGCTTTTTTTAAAAAAAAATAGCAAATTGAAACTTATGATTCCCAACACAATGAAGTAGTTGGCACTGGGCTTTTCTTTGTGCAGAAAGTAAGTCTGGAAACTAAGCAAAATACACAGAGCAGGAGCAGGATGCTAGAGACAAGGAAGGCAGATGAGGAGGGCCCTGATTACTCCTAGCTTTTCCCATGAGGCATTCTCTCAGCTTTTCCACCAGGAAATAGAGCCAAGCAGAAAACAGAGGTTCCTTGGGCAGAAGAAATCAAGATCAAAATTTGATGCTTTCAGGGCAACTGAAAGGATTCTGAATCATGTTCTTATTCCCAGGGAGGAGCTAGAGTGCGGGTACTGGGGACAAGGCAGTGGTAAAACACAGCTCCAATTCCTTGGAGCCTCGAGCTAGTGCTGTGCACATACAAGACAACCCTCAGAGGCCGCACAGAGACCAGCTTCTGAGAATCTGCACTGTGAGCCGGGGGTAAGTGCCTGTGGGACATTCAGTTCAAGCTCAGACAAGGTAGAAGGTCTTGGTGAGTGCTCTAGGCATTCACTGAGACCCTGAAAAGGCCACACTCTAGAGTCAGGGTCATGTCACAAGGATGAGATGTTCACACTGAGAAGAGAGGGCTGAAATAACTCCATCCTAAGACCCTGCAGACAAGCCACATAAGAATCCAGGTAGTCTGCTGCTAATTCAAAGGTCTTCCAGAACAAAACTTAGCATTCTCTGGACAATGACAACAGAACGCAGAGCCTCTATAACATATCATCCAGACTGTCAAGAATATAACAAAAAAATGACAGGTAAAGAAGTATGAAAAAGTAACCAATAAGAAGATAAAACAATCAAAGAAGCTGACTCAGAGATTACTAGAGTTAGCCAATAAGAACTTCAAAAGTCAACTGTGATCAATAGAAAGAGGCCAGGCATGGTGGCACATGCCTGAGGTAAGAGGATTGTTATGAGTTCGAAACAAACCTGGGCTACATACCAAGACACTGTCTAAAAAAAAAAATTAATGGAAAGAAAGCCAAAGGTTAATGGAAAAGAACTTTAAAAAATTATAATTAACATGCTAAAATAATCAATATGATTAGTACATTAAAATATTTTTCTCATAGAGGTAAAAATGAATAAAATATAGTAATTCAAATGATAATTAGAATTTATAAAAAAGCCAGGTGGTGCACACCCATAATCCTAGTACTCAGGAGACTAAGCTGGGAGGATCACCATGAGTTCAAGACCAGCCTGGGCTACATAAGTGAGTTCAAGGACAGCCTGTACTACATAGAGAGACCCTGCCTCAAAAAAAGTCTATAAA